TTTTTGTCGTGATTATTTGCCATTGCAGCAACCTGTGTCGGGACCAGGTTCCAGAAGAGGAATTGGGTTTCCCTAGCAAGCAGATTTCTCAAGGCGTACAGGACTGCTCAGGTTGTTCAACTGGGAAAAGTTGGTCTTTTACATAGCTGAACGCCATAACCTGCAAATTTGGCAAAGTTGTATGGCTTTAGTCCAGCTAAGGAGAAGGCTGGGCTTGGGGAAGACGCTGGAAGGTCGAGTTCGGAAAACTGTCTTTGACACAGAGCTGGAGGCTGCCTAGGTTTGGGACGAGGCTCAGAATGGGTCTCACTGGGAAGTTCTTTCCCACCCCCCTTCTTACATCTCCGATTTTATCAGGAGTCCTTCATACACTTTCAAGCGTAGCCCTGCAGTCATGAGGACTTGAAACTTAAGCTGATTTGAAAACATGACTGTAGGGGCATGGGGCAGATCAACCCGCAGCAGGCCAGGTCCTCTTCTTTCATGCCACATCACTGCTTTTCGCCGGAAAGGTGCAAGCAGGGCCGCGAAAGAGCAGGGGCCCTAAAATTAAAGAGATCGCCATCCATTGTCAAAAAAGGACTGTATCCTAAGAGGCAAGAGAAAAAGGTCCCCCGTCCTTCATACTTTCAGTCTGACTCTTGCGCTCAAAGGAGGACACTGGGTTCGAATCTTATCTCCACGCCGCATCAGAAAAGTCATCTGGTCCACAGAGAGCAGGCGCGCAGCATTGCAGGGAGACTTCGAGCAGCAGCTAAGCAGAGTGGCCCCCAACTTCAGACCAAGGCGACTTTCCTCTAGCTTTTCCAACGCAGAGCTTCCGCCAACTTCTACAAAGAGCCTCAGTGGCTGGGTGCCGAGGGCACAGCACCTGATAGGGAGCCCGGGGAACCTTTCTGAGGGCTCCCCAATTTTCAGGAGTACGAATATAACCCTTCTCGAAGGGGAGACATCTGCAGATAATCTCATCTGCTGCCAGATTTTTTTCTGTGCTGCAATGAAACCGTTTCTTTGAAGCCACAAGGATTCGGATGCACAGTCCAAGACATCTGGCGAGCAAAGCTGGGAGTTTTCCAACTGCTCTCAGCCACTGGCCATCCATTAATGGATGCGCCAAACTTCGGACATGGAATGTGGGAGGAGAGGCTGCTCCGTCCTTATATTTTTCTTAAAACCACTGGGTTTCTTCTTCTTCTGCAGCTGCCCTGCTGGGAAATCTTTTCCCAAAAAACTGGCTTTGCATTCAGAAGTGTTTTCGGGAATGCCACAGACCTGCATGTTCAGGTTAAGTTGGAAACGGCACTTTTTCAGCACCTGCTGGACTTTGGGGGCCCCATTCCGGGCCCTTTTGCTCCACTCCAGCATTCCACAGCGGGGCCCATCCTGGCACCGTCCCTCCGCCTCCCATTTTAATTCCCGAACCCACCATTCACCGTTCTCATTGACCTGTCTTTGAGGAAAACCTGGCCCCCAGAATCCCGTATGAACACGTGTACTTCTTCTGAACATTGTGGGGTCCCCTCACGCCGAGAGATCCGACGTGTGTTTTCCAGCAGCCCTGCTTGGGCCCCGATTCCCTACACCCCGCGTTGCTGCAAGAGTAGAGGTCCCCTTTCCTGGAAAAGGAGTTTATCTCAGAGCAGCGGGACGCCGCTTTTCGGAATCCTACTGGGAAGGGCAAGGGAGAGGCCAGCCGGGCTGCAAACGGGAGACAGAGAACATCTGCAGAGAAAGTGAGGACACGCACCTCTGGTGGAACATCTGGAGTTCATCCCCTCCCCAGAGAACCAAGGGCGATGGGAAAGCCACGACCCCCATAGACTGACCGCCAGCAAGATGCACGAGGGAGGGAGGGAGCGAGCAAGGCTGGCCCCGGACGTGGGCCGGAGGAGGACTGCTGCAGGGAGCTTGTTTCTTGGTATTCCAGGAACTTAGGACCAAGAAACAGGACCTTGAGTGATGCATTTCCCTCCTCCTCCTCCTCCTCCTCCGGCATCACATTTTTCAGTCTGCGAGCCCACGAGCAAGGACCGTGCGATTCTTCAGCCCCATGTCATGCCGAGGTGGTTTTCAGCTGAAGAGCAGGACACAGATGCCGTTGCTCCATCTGAAAGCATGCGGCTCGCCTGCTGCCCCTGCCCGCGATTGCCCCGCTTCTGCCACTCTGTGGCTCCCATTTCTGGCTATGAGCTCAGCAGGAGATGCTGACGGAAAGGGAGACCGAGAAGCGAAGCGAAGCGCGCAGGTGAAAGCCGAGCAGAGCTCATTCAGCTGGAACGCTCATCGGCGGCCGAGTGGCTCCGAATCCCGAGATGTGGCTTCCAGCCCTCTTGCTTTCAGTCAGCCCGTTCAAGGAAGGCAGCGCAGGGGGCGTGGGGCTGGACCTCATCTGCAGCTCGCATCAAAATGAGCCCCCTCTGATTCATTTCCAGCCTGGCCTGCTGCCGGTTTGGAGCCCTGCTGGGCAGCCCCTGGTCGGCTCGCTTTCCGCAGATCTCTGCATCGCTCGGACCCGCCGGCCTGCCCCCATCCCGCCCCTGGGGGCCTCTTGGAAAGGCTCTGGTTGAAAGGGACCGGCTGCATCTCTGCCCTGCCTTTCCACCCATCCAGGCATCCCGGGTGCCCAGTCCGGCCGTGGAGGCAGCAACGATGCAATCCAGAGCAGAAGCATTCGGTGTCCGGCCTGCTCTGAACTCCCTTCGACAGAAGACCAGTCTCTGTCACAAAAACGGCCTGCCTGGATGCTGTGAATCATAAAAGTCGGCTTACTGGTTAGTTGCAAGTTGCCAAACGCACAAGGCCCTTTCGTTCACCTGGACGGTCTGCTTGCTTTTTCCTCTTCCCTCCCGATTCCCTTTCCTTGCGTGTTGTGCCAGAAAAAGCTCGGTTTTTTTGCCTGCATTTAAACAGCTCTTGGAATCTTTTTTTTTTGGGGGGGGCTAATAAAAACATTGATCAATCATTCAAATAATGCACAATAAACTTCCAAGACAAACCCCTCTGCACGGCTTGGTGTTACCCGCTACACGCACCCTGCAGAGGCCCTGGCTGCTCCCCGAGCTTGCCTCCCCCGCCAAGAGAAAGGTGTTGTCTGTGGAACTCACTACCACTGCCGAACATGCGCCAACCGCAGGCCCGGGCAGACCAGAAAGGGCGTGAGATGGAATGAAAGCACTTCTTAAATTCCCTTTATTGGGTACAACCTCGAGTCCCTGTGGCCCCAAGGGGGGAGGCGGGTCCTGCGCCCCCTTGGGTCCCTGCTTGCAGGCTGGACGAGCGGAGGGAGCGCAGCAGGACCGGGGTCCTCAACCCGGCACCCTCTGGCTTTTTGGGACTCCCTCTCCCATCGCCCATGCCCACACGGCTGTGGGTGATGGGAGCCGCAGCCCGACAGCAGGGCAGGGGGGGGTGTCCAGCCCGGCGGACGGCCCCCACCGCTGCCTCCGCACCGCGTGCCCCTAAGTGTCCCCGGTGTCGTCCACGACGGGAAGGCTGTCGTACGAGGGGAAGTCGGGGTGGGGAGGCAGCGGGATCGCCACGTCGTGGGGCTTGGCGGGCGGGAGGCCCCCAAGCCGCGAGGAGGAGGAGGAGGAGCTCTCCGCCCCGGCCGCCGGGCACTCCTCCGGCGTGCATGCGGGGCACTCGTCCGAGGCGCAGCCCCTCTCCTGCCAGAACTCGGAGGTCTTCAGGCGGCTGGCGCTGCTCCTGGCCCACACCACGAAGTGCCGGATCCGGGCCTGCTTGTGTAGGTCACACATGCACACCCAGGGCTGCCAGCTGCTCCACTGCACCCTCGCCGCCCCTGCGGAGAGCAAGAGGGCACGGGGGCTGCACTCCGGCGAGCCAGCCCCAAGCCAGGCCCCTGCCGGGGGCCACCCCAACAGGCCCCGGGGCTCGCGCCTTCTCTTCCCCATGGTGGCCGGGGTCTTCACCCTCCCCTCCCTCTGCCCGGGAAGGGCGGGGGGGAGAGGGGGCACACGGCCTCCGATACTTGAGTTTGTGAGCCGCGCAAGCGCTGGGTGCGCTGAGGGAGAGGCGGCGCTGCAGCTGGGCACGGCCGTCTGGATCACCGGGCAGCTTTGGCCCGTGGCCCTGAAGCTGAGCAGCTCCGTCTACGGAAGCCAGGCAGCCTTGCGCCCGCTTATTGTGGGGGGGGGGGGCTCTTCTGCACCCAACTCTGGCAGGTCTTGAATCCTGCGAGCTGTTCACCCAGCTGCCCCCAGGCTGGTGGCACGTAGGCACACGGCCTCTGATACTTGAGGGAGCATACGGTCATGAGGACTAGTAACCCTGATCTCCAACAAAAGCACCAGACTGACAGAGGCTAAGCCCCTGGCAAGCTTTACCGTTGTCCGGCCATATTGCGGCAGCCCCGACATATCCCAGCAGCCAGAACTCAAACACAAGCAGCAGTAGCATCGCTTGCTTGGCCGCCGCCGCAAGGGAAGGATCCGGGTCGGTAGCTCATGTGCCAGACCCAAGGAGGACCACCAGGGAGGGAGGCTGCGTATCCGCTGCCATGGCAACCACGCCAGAGCCAATGAGCAGCCCGAGAACCTCAGCAGCATCCCTTTCTGACCGGAAGCATAGGCTTCCGTGCTTCCTGACGCTGCGTTTTAATTTTTTTTTATGTTTTGTATCGTTAAACTGCCCCGAGATTCGGTAATGGGATGGTCTAGGGAAGTTTTTAATAAATAAATAAAAATAAGCAAATAAATAAATTAGCCGGGCTGGCTGGGACCGATGGAAAGAAACGCATTCTGGTTCCGGTCCAGAAGAAAAAGCTAAGCCAGAATGGAAGCATCGCTGCAGAGCTGCACTGAAGGACCAAATCAGTTTCCGGCGAGCGGGCCCTGTGTGGGTCGGTTGCGGTTTTCCACTCAGTAGCCTACCTTACGGGGTCATTGTGAGGATAAACTGGGGAGGAACAGGAGGCGCAGGTATACCACCTTGGGCCCCTCAGAGGAAAAAGCAGGGCATAAATACAACAGACCAGAAAATAATTTGTACGCGTTCTCTCGTTTTAAAATTAAAACTTTAAAACATGATTCAAAATGATTTCCCTGCATTTAATTCATGGGTTAAAAGGTTAAAATTATCCCCATGTCGATGGGGTGGTTTTATTTTGTAAGGCACCCTTGCAAATTTTGTATTTTGGATTGGAGCTTAAAAAGGGGCGGGGGGGGGGGTGAGATTCTTACATTAAAAAACAAACTCCTCCATTTCCTGAACTGTCAGCTACACTGTGGCAACCAAGGAGATGTAAGACTCGTTCCTCTTGCTGAGCGTCCAAAGGACCGTGCCCTATGTGGCTTTGCAGGAAAATGCCCCAAGGCCCTTCGGGGCATGGGCCTCTGCCCCCAGGCCCCCGGCTGGACCGGAAGGTGCAACTCAGCAAACGGTGGGAGGGCTTTCAGTCGGAAGCGGCTTCCTCGCCCGGGGCTCGTGGCGTCTCTGCTGCCAGGAGAGGGTTCCGAGTCCGAATTCCGCCGCACGGGAGCGGTCCAGCAGCTGGTCCGTCCGGCCCCCCCCGGCCGCTCTGGAGCCAGGTTTCTGCAACGGGCGGGCAGGCCAGCCTGTAACCCACGTGGGCACCGCGCGCCGAGCCACCGGGCCGGGCACCAGCAGCAGGGGCGTCTGGAGCGCGCGATGCCCCGGCCCTTCCCGGCTCTGGGCACGGCCCCGTGGGCGTCCTCGCCCGGCCGGAAGGCCTGGCGCCCGAGGAGGAGCGGAGGTCGAGGCTGCTGAGCGGGGGGCTGCGGGGGCGGGGGGGGTTCTCCCAGCCGGCCAGGCAGTGCTGCGGGACGAAGAAGGCGAGCGGCCGGTGAGGGGCAAAACTCTCCGCAGGGCGGCGCTTCTCCAGGTGTGCTCCTCCAGGTGTGCCCGGCCCGGCCGGCCCCCTTCCTCCCACCTCTGCCGCACAGGCTCGTCTTCACGTGCCCCTCGCCCCTGTCTCTTTGTTCCACTCTCCCTGCTCCCTCACCCCCCCTTCCTTTCTCCTCCTCAATTCTTCTCGCTTCTCTCTCCTCATCCTCCTCCTCATCCTTCCACTTCCCTTCTCCCTCCTCCTCTTCCTCTCCTCCTTGTCCACCCACACCTTGCATCTCTCGCTGGCCACGTGCCAGTCTGGCTGGGGCTGATGGGTGCACAGCAGCCTCATGGAACCCAATGACCCCCCCCCCCGCCCGATTCTGGGCTGCCACCACCAGAATTTTCTGCCTTGGCCAGGACAGTGGGAGCATGTGGGGGGGCACAGTGGGGGGGCCGGAATCAGATTTCTGGGGCGAGCAGAACAGCTGGGGGAGAGGACCGCGGGCTCCCCCTCCCCAGCCAGACACTCACCGAGGGCAAAGCCAAGTCGTCTGCCGGCTCGTAACTTTTCCTGCGGTGGATTCTGTGCTTGTAGGCAGGGAGAAGCGTGGATCTTGGGATGCTGATCCTGAAGGGAACACGAGCATCCGGAAAGAGGTCGGGACGAGCCAGGAGCCACCCCAGAGTTGGAAAAACACCTCCCAGATGGAAAAAGCATTAATGAAAAGCAGCCACCCTGAACAGAAATGGAAGCAGCCCATCACCTCGTCCTGAGTTAAGACTGTGCCTTTTCCTCCGACCTCCAGGCAAACCCCACAGGGAAGGTGGGATTCCACCCTCTCCAAGCCCCTTGGTGAGCTGCCCGCCCCGAACCAAGCTTCCACTCGCTCTCCAGGGCTGACCCTACACCCGGCACCCTAGATGACTCTCCAGGATGGGGCAAAGGGAAAAAAACAGCACTGACTTGACCCCAGAGGAAACCGGTTTTGGCCCTCGTACTTTTGAAGCCACACGGCGCGTGACCCGTGGCCCACCTGACAAAGGCCGGCTCCACCAGGGTCTCTGGCCATCGCTGGGCCCTGGCGGTTTTGCAGATGGGACACGCCGTCTCCGGATCCAGCGGTGTGGCAAACAGGCGCTTGTTCAGCCGGTAGCAGAAGACACCTGCAGCACGACATGAGACCGGTGGCTGCTGCTTTGTGGAAAATGCTGGTTTTCATCCCCACGCTAAGTTCCTAGCCCTCATGACGGAAAGAGCTAAGCAGGAAGCCACTCGGCTGAGTGGTGAAAATATCTGTGGGAAAGCAGAGCCCGGGATGCGGTCCTTCTCAGCTGTGCTTTGGGCAGCTTCACACCAGTGAGGAAGCACAGTGGGGTGCGAGGGAAACCCAACCCTGTCTCTGTCTTGAGTTTTGGGGGCCTCTGAGCAAGGCCCCTTTCCCTCAGGGCCTCACCCTTCTCACGCCCATTTCCCCAGTCGCTCTCCCTTCCGTGCGCTTGCCGGCCAGAGAGCCGAGAGCCAAGCGGACCAGCTCCCGATGGCTGCATCTCGGAAATAAATCCACCCCGATGCCTTCAAGAAGCGCTTTCCCTGATCGTTCAGAACCACCCCTAAATCTGCCCCCATTTCCAGGCATCGCTCCGATCTGAACATACACTCATGGGAAGCTGCGTCCACCTCCGGTTCCGGGTCGCGAGGGGAGGCGCCCAGCTCGTCCGAGCTAAGGAGGAAGAACACGGCTGTCAAGAGGAGTCGGCCAAGCGATCGGTGGCGTCCTTTCCGTCCCAGAGCCCTGCAAGGAGGTCCAGCGAGGCCCAATGCCACACTTTAATGCTGCATCGTGTGCAGATGGCGTTGCTCGGGCTGCCCTCGATCTCCCACCGCCGAGCAACACGGGATGAGCTCTTGGGTGTGGCGTGGCCCCCGAGGGAGACAAAAGGACTCGTTCTCTCCACTTTCTCTGGGCCAGGTGCGTGTTTGGCATGAGAGCCCTCAGACGCCTTTCGGATCTCTCCCACACGACAGGCCTTCTCTCTTACTACGAGTTCCCGCAGGAGACGCACGCATCCTTGTTCAGCTGCCGGAAGTCACGCAGTTCTGAGAAGTACTCCTCAGATTTCTCCGACACAGAAGAATCCAGGTCCAACAGTCCTGGAAGAAGAGGAGCAGAAAAAGGGAAGGGAAGCCAGAGCCCAATCTAGGTGAAAGCAATCAGAACTGCGATGTCCGTGTTGAAGCCGTGTGGCTCCGTGGTGGAGAGAAAGCAGTTCGAACAAGCAACATGCCGCTCACCCTCCTTCAGCCTAGCCTACCTCACAGGGTTGTTGCCAAGATAAAGACAGAATGGAGGAGAAGCGTGGCAGGACCGCCTTTGGCTCTCAGGAGGAAGGCTGAGATATACTGGCGACAAATGCTTCTTTCTTGCAATGGGTTTATTTCAAAGCAGAATAACATTGTGCCTTCTCTCTGAGAAGCCCAAGCTGGCTTAGATAATCCTCTGCACCGTTTTATGCTCACAACAATCCTGCGGGGTAGGCTGAGGTGGAGAGTGGGTGACTGGAATAAGGTCGCCGGGTTGTGAAGGGATCATCCGGCACTGGATTCCACACCCAGGAACAGCCAGCCCTGGATCCCCCAAAACAGGGAGCAACCAGGATGCTATGGCTGCCCCGGCACTCTGAGCTCTACTGCTCCTGCAGGTGGAGGCTTTACACAATGCCATCTTAATTTCTGGAGATTCCAGAGGATGCCCAAAAAGCCTCTGAAGTATTCAGCTTGCTGGCCCACCGATGACGCCCGATACCCAAGTGGGAATTCTGGGTCCCTTCGCACCTGCGATCCAATCATATCCGAGGAAAGGCCGGATCGACCATCCACCTGCAGGGACCACGTGTTCTTTGGGGTCCGACAAAAACGTCACACGCCCAGCCTCCTTCTGCAACGAGAAAAAGCCCCGTTCTCCAGACAGAAAAGTCCAGCAGATGAAAGGTGTGTTCTGCACCCCTCCTCACTGGGGGTGCAGAACCTCGGGGTGAAATCTGGCCCACACGAAGTCGCAACCTGGGCCTGGGACTCCCCTGGGTCACCCCCACTCTCCCGACCATTTCGGGGCTTCCCGGCTTTTACATGCTTTGTCCCATTCCAAAAGGCTGAAGGCTTGATTAGCAGCAGTAAAATACTAAAATATGGGGGGCAGGTGGGATTTTATTCCCCCAACTGCTTTGGCCTACGAAAGCAGCCTTCACCACTGGCTATGCCGGCTGAGGCGCATGGGAGCTGCAGGCCAAGCTACCCAAAGGGCCCTGAGCTGAAATTCACTGACATTTCGGCCCCCTTTGTCTCTGCTCCAGTCTGGCTTTGGGCTTGCCTTCCGTTGGAAGCCACCACCCAGGAGAGCGGCTCTGCCTCGCATTTGCCCCCTGGAGAACGAGCCCGGGCCTCTGGCCCTTCGGCGACGGCTGGTTCCCGCCTGCACGGCCGGGACCCCCCAGGCGGTGCGGAAGGGGCCCCGGCCGGCACTGCGCAAGGAGAGCAGCGCCCGACACCCACCCTGCCTTTCTCCCTGGCTCCCTTGCTCTGTGGCGTAAGCAGGATGGACTTGGGTGCTGGAGGCATGCGCGCAGACGCCTTCGGCCCGCCGCTCCCCACGGCCCGCGCTGGGCCCGGCTGCTGCCCCGTCCTCGGCCCGTCCTGCTCCGGGGGGCTGAGCCCCGCGGCGGGGGGCAGCGTCGCCTCAGCACGCTCCCTTGGGGCTCTGCCCCCGCCGACCGCGGCACAGGATTGGCCGGCACATCCTGCCAAGGGGTCGTCGGTCCTGGTTGCCTCGGGCGAGTCTGGACGCAAACGGTGCTGGCGGTCCGTCCTGCTCAGCCGCTGGGGCTCAGTGGGGGGCACAAGGCCCAGCAGGGCTGCCTGGAGACCCCCCTCCACAGACGCGGCAGCCTCAGGATCAGCATGAGGGATGCGCCCTCGGGTCTCTTCCTAGAACGCAAACATTGCTTATAGTCACCTGGCATGCGGAACCTCAGCTGCAGAGGCGGTAGCTGACCCTCCTGGCCCCCCATTCTGGCCCGTGAGGGTCCCCGTCCCCCGGGCACCAGGTGTTCTGCTGTCACCCCATCACAGCAGCCTGCGCTGCTGCTCTCGAGGCTCCGCAGCGACAGGACAAGGGCGATGCTCACCCGCGTGGCGGGCGCTGGGCAGCGTGGCCCCTGCCCCTCCTGCTGGGAGCCCCCCCCCCCGCAACTGAGCGCGGCCAGCCATGATGGAGGAGCTGGGGCGCCTTCGACCGCAGCCAGCAAGACAGACGAGCCGCCGGGGCGCCTCTCTGCGGATCCCACGCCCGGAAGCGCAGCTCGGGGAGGGGAATGCGCTGGGCCTGGCCTGCTTCGCAGGGTTGTCGTGCGGATACACGGAGGGGAGGAGAACTGGGCAAACTTTTTTGGGGGGGGGCTGGACATCGCTGCAGAAAAGAAGCGACCGGGGCAGGGGGCGCCCCCGTGGCTGCCACCCTCCGCGCCGCAGGAAAGCGGGCCCTCTGCGCGGGGAGGCGCCGGGGACGCAAGCGCAGGCGCGGCGCGGCGCGGCGCGGAGGGCCCCA